ACCCGAGTACCCGACCCAACAACACAACAACACCAGACGAGCCGACACCACCACGGCCACCAACCCCACCACTCACCACCACACACCACCGACCACCACCAGTACCATCACTCATCATCCATCATCATCGTCATCATTTATCAAATCATCACTACCAGCAGCAGCAGCAACAGCAGCAAGCAGCAGCCAGCAGCCAGCAACCTGGCCACCGGTGACCACCAACCACCACCATCACCAGCACCACCAGCCCACTACCACCCACCACCACCACCACCACCACCACCACCGACACAACCGACCACCAGACCACTCACTCACCACCAACCACTCACACCAACTCACCGACCAGCCAACTACGACCCACCCACCCACCCAAGCAGGCACCACCAAACAACCACCACCGACACCCACACCATACACCACCCCACCATCCCGCACCGACCAACTATGCCCACCACCACTCACCCCACTACCACCAACCACCGACCAACCACCCCACCCATCACCAGCCCACCATTATCACCGACCTACCGAACCACCACGCACCACCCACGACCTGCCGCTGCAATAAACAAAATCCGAATATCTCTACTGCACTAATGCACGAGCTAGCGACTTGAACTATCCTACATTTATATTCACCAATACACCGACCATGCCGGGACCACCAAGTGTCGCCACGCGCCAGGTCAATGACTGCCATTGGAGGGGGCGGGGGCGTCGCCCATAAATGTACGTCCCTTTCATGCAACTCATTCGCTCGCTACGTCTTCGCACTACATATTATGTCTTTATTGGAAACTTGGCGTGTTTACTCTAATTGCAGGTGGAGATTTGTAGTAGAACTGAAATAAATACCCCCGACTATTCACTATTACTGCCCCTATCGTTGCTTTGACCCCTTGGCGAACGCATGCTGCCTAGTAGTCGGTTCGTTTACCAGGCACCGGCCCGCCGTCGTTTCCGCGTATGACGCACGCATGCTCGAAAGAAATACACGAACGAATCTAGTTCCAGTTAGCTGTACGTAGGCTCGTCACCTCATCCAATTCCTTGGTTTCCACTGGCGGAGCAGCTAACACTAAAGGATACGCCTGAGAGGTCGGCGGTGCATGAGGGTGACTTTGTTAAAGTCATATGCTGTGGTTCCGGCCAGGGCAGACCGACGTTCGTGAAATGTGTCGGACGTCGCTCCGGACGTCCCCGTGATGTCACGTACGGCTGATTGCTGTCCGTCCTGGCGGGTGGTGAGGGCAAGCGGGAAAACGCAGTTGACCACTGTTGTATAGTGGACGTACCGGACAATGCACGCTTCTTAGAAACGGCTTACCCTGGCACGCGCCGCGCACGCTGAGAGGTCTCCGCTGTCGTTCGAAATCTGGGAACTCTCGCCCTGTGTGCGGGCACGCGTGTCCATGCTAACTATGCACATTCTTTCTAGCCACCGACCCGCCTTCGTTGTCAGTTCTTGCAGATAAACTGCTAAACTGACCAGTAGAGAGAAAGAGAGGGAGCGATGCGCGAAGCAAGAAAAAGAGGAGGGAATGAGAGAAGGGATGGAGAAGACAGTGAGTAGAGAGAGAGAGAGAGAAAGAGAGAGAGAAAGAGAGAGAGAGAGTAGAGGAGGGAAGAAGATAAGAAAGAGAGAGAGGGGGAAGAGAGAGAGAAAGATAGACGAAGAGAGGGAGATAAGGAAAGGATAGAGACTCCCGGCCCAGAGAGAGAGAGAGAGAGAGAGAGAGAGAGAGAGAGAGAAAGTAGAGAGAGAGTAGAGGAGAGAGAGAGGAGATGCACAGAGAGACAGAAAGACAGAGAGATGGGTCATGCAAACCTCAACAGCAATGCTGGCCGCATAGTTAACCCCGGATCGACACAGCACGCAAATTTAGCATATAAAAAAGTCGCCCCCTCTGGGACACGCGTCCCAAAGGCCTACCCATGTATGACCAAGTGAAATATATACCCAGTATCCGTGCGCTGTCCAATGAGCCCGTTCTGCTAGTATACTCATTCTGCTGCGCTATATACTGCGAGGGACGCTGCGATCAGTGACCCTCTGGCGTTGTACGCACGGCCGGGCCGGTAGAACGTTGCGTGACGTAGAGCTGAAGAATACAGAGAGTGGAAAGGAGAGTATCGAGAGATGGGAGAAGATGAGAAAGGAGATGGGCAAGAAGGGAGAGGTGGGGGGAAGGAGATGGGGAGATGGGAGAGGTGGGGAGAAGGAGAATGGAGAGGTGGGAGAAGAGATGGGAGAGGTGGGAGAAGGATGATGGGAGATCTGAGCAGGTGGGGAAAAATATTAGATGGAGAGATGGGAGAGGTGGGGCAGAAGGAATGGGAAGATGGGAGAGATCGGGAGAAGGAGTATGGGAGAGAATGGAGAGGGGGAGAAAGAGATCGGAGAGGGTGTGGGCAGACATTTCACAGCGACATTGGCCGAGATATACGGTTGCATAATGCTCTGGCATCCTGGCGACGGCAAGCAAATATCTACGAATAGCAACTGTTAGCAGTGATTGATGCGCGCGGATCATGTTGTGATACAGACTTGATAATTGAGAGCGATATATATTATAGTGTGTGTGTATCATATTTATATTATATTTAATATTTCTTGCTTGTTCGGCTCAGAAAATGCAGTGCACAAACGCGACAGCGCGCGGCGGCCACGAGCACACGCACACACACGTCCCACACACCACATCACATCACAGCACACATGCCCCACACACACACAGCTACACGGCACACACAGCGGCACACACGACGACTCTGGCGGAGCTGGCGCGGTCGAGCCGCCTCGCTGACCGGGCAACCGGACCGGATCGCGTCTGCTGCGTGCTTCTTTCTTCCCCTGTGCGGTCCCGTCAACACACACACACACATATATATATATATATATATATATATAATATGCGCGCGCACAAGCACACACGCAAACGCACACGGCAAACGCAAGGCACGCGAAACACATCCGTTCACGCAAACACCACGCAAAAGCGCACACGCAAAACGCACACTCAAACGCACTACGCGAAACAGGACCAGACTACGCCGCACGCGCGACACACACATGCGCACACGAACGTACGCAGCCGCATGCCAACCTCTTCGCGTATAGCCATGCGTATTAGGTGCAAGTAAAATACGATAAATACGGTGAACGCGGGATGTACAGTTGGAGATGTAAATCCTGACGCTCTTCATCGAGTTCCTAACTGGCACGCGCCAGCGCGTGTAATCATTTGTGTGCGCGCGCGTGAAGGACGCCGAGCAGCTGAGCTGGGGGCAGCAAGCCCCTGGGATGCACGAAAACGCCGTGAGCGCATTGCGCGTTGGCGACAGCGCTCGTGATGCGTCAAGCGCCGTCTTGCCGCAGCGCACGGAGCTGCCGGTGTATGTTCGCAAGCGCGGCTAGGATGAGGGTAGTCTGCAGTTAGGAAGCCAAATCCATAATCAGCAGGCGGGTGAATATTACCGGGAGAGCCAAAACGATATCTGGAAGAATCCGGAGGTTATTCACTATTGAGTGGGTAAGGACAAAACGAGAGAGCAGAAATAAATATTAACTAATAAGAATACGCACATTCATGATGACTAGGATGCAGCAAAAATGAGACTGCATTGAAATCATAGGCATAAGAAGGCCGCGAATAATATCTACTAGTATAGAAAAACCCAAACGTACTATCTCTACAGGTATATATGAGATATACATTTCAGGCAATAGAATCAACGACGGGAAAGACAGAAATTATATTTTCGTAGGAATGCAAAACTACCAAACCACGAGCTAGCGTCTACATAACTTTATTTTATTATTTTCTTGTTTATTTTTTGTCAATCTATATTATAATATATATATTATATATATTTATTTATTCCCAGCAGAACAGTCAATAGATAGATAAATATTTCACAGGAAAGAGCAAAATTGTTAGTGTTCCAAAGGAAGGGCAAAACTGATAACGATAGAACTGACATAGATTATTAGAGAACCAAAATTACGAAAGTTGGGAAAGGCTGGAAGATCTCTACAAGGATACACTAAATAAAGCGAAGGTCCCTGGTATGAGTAGAACACGATCGCCCCGTCGACATAGCGCATACTCTCCAAGCATGGCGACACCTTACATTTACCATTAACATCACCGCACGCCGCCGCGCGTCGAAAAAGTATCGGAAGCTCTCCCTCGCACCACCTCCTCCTCCTCCTCGCTCCTCCTCCTCACTCTTCCTCCCATGACTCTCACTCCTCCTCCCTCCTCTGCCCTCCTCCCTCCTCTTACCTCCCCATTCTTTCTCCATGCCTCCTCCTCCTCTCCTCCCTCAACCTCCTCCTCCTCCCTCCTCCTCACGCTCCTTCTCCTCTTTCCCCATTTCTCCTCCCTACTCAACCGCATCCTTCTCTCCTCCTCCCCTCCTCCTCTTCTCCCTTCTCATCTTCTCCTTCCCGCCTCCATCTCCCCCCATCCTCCGCTCCCCTCCTCTCCTCCCCCCTTCTCCTCCTACCTACCGCTTCTCATCACTCCCCTTCGCGCCCCTGCTGAGCGTATACTGAGCCACTGCCGTGCGCGATTTTCTCGCGAACGCGTCCAACATATTTCTGTCTCTAGCACCTCGCCGGTGTCGCGCCCTAGAAATCGGCGCGCCGTACAATGCGAAAAGCACGCGCGTTGGCCTCGCTAGAGGCGAGGTAATTGCAGGACAGAGAATGTTTGTTCGCGAGCACGACCAAACCTGCACGCATCGCCCCGGCTCATGCCGCACCACGCGCAGCGCCTAGGAACGAGTCAGCACGGCATAGTCAATCGCGCCGGAAGCACCTGCCTGCTCAAGACGGCTAATCCTCTATTTGCTGAGCCTGACATGTCGTGGTAGTCCGTATCAAGAACGGGGAAGCGGACTCCCACACTTGTCTTTCCACTCTCACCAGCCCCCCCCGTACCTCCCGCGTGTCCCGCGCGCGTGCGCCGAAATACCGACCGGGCGGTAAGGCGCGGGCGCGAAATTATATCAGGTGAGTGTAGGCTTACCAGCTGATGCTCTGCTGCTGCTGCGTAAGCTGCTACCTGCTGCAGCTACTGCGCTGCTGCTGCTGCTACTGCTGCTACTGCTGCCTGCGCTGTTACTACTACTACTACTACTACTACTACTACTCTACACTACTACTACTACTACTAACTACTACTACTACTCCTACCTCCTACTCCCTCTATTGCTATGCTATTTCTGTTGCTGTTACTATTGAATATTGCTGTTGCTGTTGCGTTTGCCGCTAAGCTGGCGCGCTTACTTAATCTTCATTAGCACCAAACTGTACGACTGTAAGCGCGCTGGCCGGCCACATTGCTACTGTTCAGAGCCTGCGGAGAGCTCTTGCACCGGCACGGACGATCGGAGTTACGGCGCTGTCGTCCCAAGGTCAATCCGCACCCAGTGCTCGCGCCCTCCTCTCCCCTCCTCCCCTCCCCTCCGCGCTGTATTGTCTTCGACCCCCTGCGCGGGGCCAGAGCGCGTACTGGCTAAGCCGCTAGCAGTCGTGCTCGGCGTGGGGAGGGGAGGGGGAGGAGAGAGGGGGAGGGGCTATATATGTCCGTGCCAGTAAGCAATCGTCCTGTGGTTAAGCGGTCGGGTCGCTAGCAGCCGACCCACAATCCGCACGCCGCCAAGTGCCCGGTCGAGCAATCGAACACCTGCATAGCTCACTGACCGCTTGGCGGCGAGAGAGCAGACCGATGAGTGGGAATAGTCGTGAGGGATGAGAGGGCAGGGGAGGGAAAGAGGGAGCGTGGGGCACAATGAGAGGCGAAGGTCGGAGAGCATGCCTTCACCCGCATGCCAGAACAATCGACGTGACCATTCCGTATATCCAACTCGGCGGCGTCCTCGAGGCAGGCAATTATGCTGTGACATCCAGGTATTACGGCAGCATACCGGGGAAGGGGTTAGAAATTGGTGGGAGAGAGGTACGAGGAGGCGCTGTGTTACTGCCCCAGGCGACGTCCAGCCACGGCAATTTTAAATGCTTCCTAAAGGACAATTCTGACCTCACGTCATCGCTATATTTTGTCCACAACAATAAGAAACATTGAAATTATCAACTGTTCACAACACGCACGTTCGCGTTCTCACTTTGTTTTCTCCTAATTGATAATAATCATGCGAAAGTAATTTTAAAAAAATTAATAATTAAGATAACTTTGACGATAACGTGACGTAAGCCATGATTCCTCGCAAACCTCATCCGTCAAGGCTGACCATCGCAAGCGTTCAGCCACAAAGTCTGAATCACGACACTCGTGTCGACACCGCCCGCATACGCCCAATCATCTGACACGAACGTAATCAAGTATACTGACAACTCCACTTAAACATACTTACATAGCCTACTTACTTTACTTTACCTACTTTACTTGCTTACTTTACAATTACTTAACTATCATATTACATACTTCTTAATACATACTTGACATAGCCTACTTCATACTTTACGATTACTTTACTTTATAACTCTACTTATTGCTTCCTTACATTTACTTCAGCATACATATTATACTTACTGTACTGACTTAATACATACTAATACGCCCTGATCCGATGTTAGCGGGGACGATATTTTTCATGCAAACTCTGCGTAATAAATAGGCCTCAGGAAAGTCTTGACGTATATCGACCAACGTCATTCGTCCGCATGGACGTGAACATTTTGAAAGCAGGGCTCTTACCTGTGTCGGGTCAGTGAACGCAGCCACATGCAAAAGTTGTGTTGTTTAATGTGCTTATGTCATTTGTCTGGGAGGGGTCCGTAGCTTTCCACCGATCTCAAATGGGTCCAATGACTCGATAAGGTTCAGAACCATCCTGTTCTATGAAGGTCAACGCAGCTAAAAAAGATCGATATCTGCGGAGCGGAGGAGTGTGTGGAGCGGAGGAGGTGTGTGGCGGAGGAGGTGGTGGCAGGGAGGTGGGGCGGGGGAGTTGTGGGGCAGGGTAGGTGGTGTGGCGGGGGAGGTGGTGTGGCGGAGGGAGGTGGTGGGGGGGTGAAGAGGTGTGGGGGCGAGGCAGGTGGTGGGGCGAGGTAGGTGCGTGGGGCGGGTAGGTGGTGGCGGGGAGGTGGTGGCGGAGAGGTGGTGGCGGTAGGTGTGGGGCGGGGTAGGTGTGGGCGGGGTGGTGGAGGGCGAGGAGGTGGTGGGGCCGGGGTGGTGAGGCGGGGAGGTGGTTGGTAATGGAGAAGTGGTGGGGCGAGGAGTTGTGTGCGGGGAGGTGGGTGGCGGCGAAGATAGAGGGGCGGCAGAGTGGTGTGTTGGGAGAGGTAGAGGGGCGGGAGGTGGTGGGCGAGGGGTGGTGGCGGGGGAGGTGTGCGGGAGGAGTGAGGGGTAGGGGAGGTGGAGGGCGGGGAAGGTTGGGTAATGGGCGGGGGAGGTGGTGGGTGGGGGAGTGGAGGGCGGGGGAGGTGGTGGGCGGGAAAGGTGGGGGTGGGGGAGGTGAGGGGCAGCGAGGCAGGTGGCGTGTCGGGGAGAGGCGCCACGATGCGCGCGTAGCCGGCACACCTATATAGCTGTAAGAAGCGATCGCAATCGAAGCTATAGCAGAGCGATGATCAGAGAGATTCGTCCTGCTAAGCACGCGCCGGCATACTTCACGTACCTCGAGGCTCGATTCTACATCGCCAAATAGATGCACCCTAACACCCACCCAGCTTATTTGCGCTCGTGCACACACAGGTGCCCGCTGATTTACCTCTTTTCGGCGAGAAACGCTGAAGGCGGCTCGAATGTCGACTGAAAGATGCGAATCTGCTGCTTAGCGACAGCCTTGGGGATTTACATACTTGATGTGGGGGATGCAAATGCATGTAGTGCTGCTCCCATGCTCCGTCTTACCGCATGCAGCCACGTTACATCCACCGGTCGCTGCTATTAGATACCCCTTCTCTAACCCCCATGCCTTCGCTACATCACAGACCCTATCTCTTCATTTCCAGCATGGCCGATTGTTCGTTAATGGCAATTAATGCAGTAAATGGGCGTTTCCATGAAATGCATCATTGCTTCCGCGAGAACATTTTGCTTGCATGAGAAAGCAATGATCATTATCATCGACATGATACTTAACAGCAATCTATCGTCAACCTTTTCAACTAAATGTTGATAGTCTAAACCCAGCGTTAAACAGAACGTCGATTATTGTATAGCTATTGCCATATGGATGAAAGACCCTCGTTTTCACGTTACTTTTCCAACAATATGTTCGCTTCCGGTAAACGGACGTTGCTTATTATCTGCATTAGTGTATTGCCGCTTCGTACATACTTGTACTTGTTGGTTGCTGCCCGTTAATTAATGTATTTTCCCCTTGCACATACGCAGTATACGCATATAATATAATTATATATATATATATATATATATATATATATATATATATATATTGACACGTCATTCTATTTACAGTATATATATGGAATATAAATAGAATGACGTGTCAATTTTACATAAACAATAAAATATAGTCACACTAAAAAGTTTATTTCCCGAATAAATCGAAAATAAATATACAAACATAATATTATTTAGACAAATTTATTCTCACACATTACTGATAATGTCAGCATAAAAATTATTACGCGTTTCGGACTGTTTATATGCTATAAGAACAGATAAATACATGGCAACGTGCACTGCCATTCTTAGGAGTCACAGTATAGAATTTTTAAACCGCTCCAACAGTGCCACGTGGTTAGCGTGACGCAGATTTTATAGATGGTCAGTATCAGACGGTCGAAGAAAAAATGCGGTTGGTAAACATGTGGAAATTCCTCGCTGTTAATTATGTTTAGATTTATAGATCGTTTAGTCTATATCTTCATGGTTGCCGTCGGGTGTGTTTTTTATTCTACACACCACACACACTACTACGCGCGCGGCTGCGCAGCGCGCACACACAAACATACACGCACGCATGCACGCAGCACACACCACACACCACACACACACCCACACAACACAGCACACCCACACACACACACACACACACACAACACACACACGCACACAAACATACACGCACGGCATGTAGCGCACGCGACACACACACACACACACACACACACAACACAACACACACAACACACACACGTCCACGCAGCGCACGCACGCGCGCGCGCATATAAATAAATGAAAATAAATTAATATATATTATATATCATATATATATCATATAGATAGAAGAGACGTAGAGAGAGAGAGAGATAAAGAGAGAGAGAGAGAGAGAGGAAGACGAGAGAAGAGAGAGAGAGAAAGGACGCGAGAAGAGAGAGAAAGAATATAGCGAATAAGTTTGTATGTTGTCTCCCTCATATGCATTGGCGCGGTATATTGACGTTGGTGTTTTGCTTCGTTGTAGTTCCGGAGGGTTTCGTGCGCAGGGTTGCCACAAAAAAAAAAGATTCGATCATATTTACCTTCTGCTACCTCGTGAAGATGAACATGAGAGCGAGCCGAGCGTATCTCTGGTTCTCTCTGCAGCCGAGCAGGACTCTCGACGCGTTCATCTACGTCAACGTCTACATCGCCGATAAAAAACACGCGACCCGCGGCGCGTCCTCTACCGGCAGAAGAAGGTGGCGCTATCTAGCGGCAGCAGTGAGTGGCACAGCATCGAGGTGCGCTCCCTGGTGGCGGGCTGGTTCCGCCGCATCCAGCAGCGGCACTTTGAGTTGGTCGTAGAGGCGTTTCGAGATTCGAGCGGTCGCCAGCTTGTCATCGACTCGGAGCCGACGAGCGGCGACAGTGTCGACACCGGCGACACCGTAAGTCGACATGCTGTCGTTGAATTTGTGTTATGTTATGTTATGTTATGTTATGTTATGTTTTGTTAATGATTGAATGTTATGTTATGTTATGTTATTACTATGTATGTTATTTTGTATGTTATGTTGTGTTGTGTTATTATGCTGTATGTTATTGTATGTTATGTTATGTTATGTTATTATTGTTATGCTTA